GCAGGCACTGTAGTGAACCCCGAAGGCATCCAATTCTTCACAAACATCTCGCGTCTTGGAGTAGATGAAGCGCCTGGCAACGCAAGAAGCTGAGGCCGTCACGCTCCCTCAACGCTCCGAATCTGAACGCTAAGCCTTCTAAACGGTCTCAGATCACCCTGCGAGTAGAATATGGACCAAATTCCGCCGAGCCGCCTGGTGCTGCACAGCATGGGTCTCCACCCTGAAATCCGATACCTTCTCTGTTCGTCTCTTGTCATCAGCCAAAGATAATTTCTTCGGGGGATGCATGCCAAAAACACCAGACACCCGCAAAGAAGCCCGAAACATACGGTCATCTGGGTTTGGCATGGGGTTGCAAAATGATCCTGCGGTGCTGTAAATGCTCCAGAACTAGAGCCGGGTATCCCGACAGTGTTTACACCCGTAAAAGTGTCGACAGAAAGTGTGCATCATGAATGTATGCATGGATACATGCACTCATTCATTCCTTGAAATAACAACACGTATCGACGGCGATAGTGTCACCCATCCATATAGGTCCACATAAGTTCATTCATGACCAAGATAACGGCATGAACGTATCACCCATCCATCCGTCTACGCATCTATTCATCCTTAATCATCCGTTCAGAAACATTCATTCATCTAACCGATCATACTCTATCACTCAACCACCCACCTGAATATCGACATTACAACTATCATCCATCCATCCGTCCACACAACCATCCATATCCATGCATTCATACAGCTCTTATTAGCACAGTGCTGTAAACATTATTGCTGAAAAACACCTGTTTGCAGCCTCTGAGCTGCACGAGCGCATTCGGGAAGCATTCCGAGTACTACGTTACCAACTACGTTTATGCCCGAGAAAACGAAGTTGACGCCTCAAGAGGTTGGCACGACTCCGGGCGACGTTCCCAAAACCAAATGCACTCCGAGACGTTTGCCCACTCTGCGAAGACTTGTTTCAAGCAGCGTGCCTTCGACGTGTGAGCTGCGTAGTGCTGCACCCGAGCATGTGTAGCCCAGACGTAGCTATGCCGGCTGCGCCTGTTCCTCGCTCCCATACCGCCTGCCCCGTTTCAGAACAGGCGGACGCAGACTGCGGCGACGTAGAAGATTGGTGAGGTTCGAGCAAAATCTTTTGGGTGCAGTTCGAATTTGCTGCAGACGATCTTTAAGAGCAAATCTCCACTAGCTCTGTAGAAGACCTTTATGTTTCAAAATGCTCTTTGTGGCTGCCCAACGTCCACGTTTTTGTATGCGGGTTAAGCTGCGCGTCGCTCATGCGATCTGTCAGTGGAAGTGCCTGAGTGCCCGCAAAATGCCAGGCTGAAGGATATCTCCCCAGCTGCTGAGTGCTTGCTTTGAGAGCTTTTTCGCAACTGCCAAAGGTGCTGTCTCCAAAAAGCTGGTGCTCCAGGATGGAGACCAAAAAACCGATAACCGAACTCATCCACTCTCGGCCTGCGATGTCTCCAACGAAAAGACTCTCGTCAGTGGTCCCAGTTTTGGTGCACTCCCCCAACTCCGACAGACTTACCATGATGCCCCCAGCGGGGATACTTTGGCCCAGCTGGCCGGATCAAGTGGTCCTCACTCACAGCCAGGGCCTCTGAGGGCCGGAGATAGCAGTCAAAATGGAGGACCAACGCCATCACCCTAGGTTGGCCCTCGAACTCTTCCGGCACCGGCAGCCGCATGGACCCCGGCTTGAGCTTCCTCCAGCCCGCCAAGCTGAGCTTCGGCGACGGAGACAAATGGTTTCCGCTTTTATGTGCTGCCCAAACACAACTCCGGAGTTGAGGAGCCTTGAGACCTCGCTCGGAGTTGGTAACGACGCCGGAGGACACTGGCCCGATCGGGCCCACCAATCGGGGCTTTTCTGTTTCTCGCTGAAAAGATTGGAGAGCTGGTTTTGCACAGACGACCATGAGACGGGGCGAGCTTAAGAGGTTGGGCTTTGAAGTCGGAGCACTCTTTGATGAGTGCTTGCAGGACTTTGTTGAGCCAACCGATGACGAGGAGGTCTGCTTCGCCTTTCGTGGTATCTGCATGGGTTGGAGTTGGGCTTTTGTTTTTCGCCAATTCCATGGTCGCGCACCAGAGCTCGCTTGGCACTGGAATCGGCGAGGACAGATTTATCTTGGACAAGCGGCCGGCTCCTATAGTGCCTTCGGGAGCTCCAACCATTGGCATCTACGTGGACAACGTGAACGTGGTAGGCCTTGTTTGGGGCTACGGAGGTGAACACTTCGTCGCAAGCTTTGAGCAGCTGGGCACACCTTTCGCGGTGACCGACCGGGCAGGGAATTTGATTTCTGGCAAGGCTGCGTGGTTCGAAACAACCCGCTTCGTGCCCGCCTTCTCCCAAGACCCGTGCCATAAGCCGAGCCCTTCTCTTGAATTGGGGAAGCTGTGGCATGCAGGGTCGTGAGCATAGATCTCGCGGAGGATGTCATTTGGGAACGTGGACCGGCGATCAAGAACACGATGACGAAGAAACGATAAGTCCTGCCTTTCCAGTTCGTGGTCTGGGGTGAGCGTGATCCTCGTTCCTTCCCTTTCTGCACGCTGAAGCAAAATCCGGTGATGCCAGAAATACCCCCCTGCATCAACTGATTGACCAAGACTTGCACATCAGGCATGTCCAGGGTCAAGTCCCCCGTCCTGAAGCCGGCCTTTGCTTCTTAGACTTGAGGGTCTGTGGGGTTCCGATTTTATGGAGCCTGAGACCGGCGTCGAAAGAACAGAAGAAGACGGGCGCTCAGAAACTGGCGCTGACGCCAAAGCTGGCTGAGGCAGCCCTTAGATGTCGCGGTGCAGAACGATGTCGGGCCAAAGAGAAGATCAAGCAAAGAACTCTGACCAGGAATCCCCAAGAAAGCAACAGCAGCTTGCCGAAATATCCAACCACCAGTTAATTCTCTCCAATTCAAGCGTCTCTCGCCCTGCTTCCTCCAGGACTTTGCGTAGAGTTTCAACCTCGCCTCGAAGAAGCGACACCTCGTGGGAGGCAAGCTCCGAGACCGAAGGCTTTCGCGCGTCACAATGCTTGCCCTCAAGTACTGGCGCGTTCCGGAACAAGCCCAGCAGCGCAAGGCTTGCCCCCAAGTACAGGCGGGTTCCGAAGCAAGCCCAAAATGTTTTGCATTCGAGCACAGGCAGAATCAAGACCAGCAATGCACGCGCCATGTCGGGAATAAAACAGCGATCCGCTTACCGGAGCAGAACGACGCGCCACGTCCACTGAGATGGTGAGAATCAGGTTGCTGGTAAGCTGGCTGTCAGGTTGACTTTTCGCACCTAGCAGGCGGCAAGACGGGCTGTGTATATTGGAATGTTCAATGGATCGCGGCCAGCGTGCAAGCGCTGCATTGGAATTTACAGTGGAGCGCGCTGCGAAGCGTAGCGGCACCACATGCGCACAGGGCGGTTGTTCCCCACCGCATCGTTCGAGACGCAGCAGCACGCGCTTCTCTGCTGGAACTTGCAACGGATCTAACTTCCCCCAATGCCCGGCTTCAGGATCGAGTCCGTTTCTGGCGTGCTTCGGACGTCGCAAACCCAAAATCGTCGTGGCACCCCCCACGCACACAGCGCCCGGACACCTGCAACGAGATGCAAATTCGAGAAGTACGTGCAGCTCATGTGTTGAAATTTACAAAGGCTCGGGCCGACCCCATGAATCGGACAGGCGCATAACACCCATAGAGAGGCTAGTCAATGGTGGAACGCGCCGCCCGAAAACCACAACCGAGCACGGCATGAAGTAAATATGAACACGAAGAGCCATGTGCAATGGAATTTACAAGTTATCGTGTTGATCGGAGGAAGCCGACATGCTGTAGCGCAAGGGTCTTTGGAGCGGAGGGTGAAGAAATGCGAGGAAGCCGCGTGTGTTGGAACTTACAAGGGATCGTGGCGATCGCACCAAACGCCGAGACGGTCGCTGTTTTGGGGACCCAGACGGAGCATCCATCCAATCTATTGCAATTTACAACGGATCGTGCCGCCCCAAAACGAAGCACGGCAGCTCCCGCTAGCCTGGCCCGCTAAGCTATAAGCAACTAAATTAAACTTAGAGTTGGACATGGCAAAGAAAAAGAGAGAGAATGTCGGAGCATGGTCACGTCAATACAATATCATCTCCAGCACCTTCACTGAAAAAAACCATGTCGACGTTTTCAGGAGAAAAGGAACATGCCGTGCAACAGGCGAAGCAGACGTAGGCTAAACGCACAGCAGCAAAGGAGAAAAGACCAAAAACTCAGAACCCCAGAAGCCGGAGCACCTAGATTCTGGACATCCCCAAACCCTAAACCCTAAACCCTAAACCCTAAAACCCTAAAACCCTAAACCCTAAACCGTTTAACCTCCCGCACAACTCGGCAGAGCAGCACAGGTGTTCGTGCGACACGCGAAGCGAGTGAGTTCGTATAGCCGCCTGTCACCTCAGGATGCAGGGTTCAAGGTTGCTACAAGGGTAGTTCTCTAAATTAGGGTCTCTTTTTAGGTCCCCAATATAGTACGGCACTCTTATAACAAGGACCCTAAACGGGACCCTAATTTAGAGAACTACCCACAAAGCGTAACCGTGCATTCAAGCCTGTATGACATGAGGGGCAGGTTTGACGCGTTGACCAACAAGCACTTTTCTGAGCTGTCGACAACACGCTAATCAAAAAGGTGGTAACTTTGTTGTTGAGCCGCAGCCCAGGATTGCAGGGCATTGCATGTCGGGGTGGTGTTTTGAGGCTTAGGGCGGATGAGGGATGCTGGTGTTATGCTTGGGGGGCGTCTGGCTCGAATACTCGGATGCGCGTTGGAATGCGCTACATGAAGCTAGCACGTTGCAGGCGGAAGCCTGCAGCCGGAACCCTGGAAAACCAAACCCAAACCACACCCCTCAGCCCCAAACCTAAACCCCTGATCCAAACGGAAATCTAGAAACCATAACACACTGGACCTGAAGATCCAAAACCTCAAGCCCATGAAAACCCTGCCGCCTCGTAAGGGAACAGGGATGTGTTCACTCCAAAGAACGACCCCATCCTCGCCAAGGTTGTGCGCAAATTGTCCGATAAATCCTCCGAGGGCTCTTGAGGGTATTATCTTCTGTTTGCCAAGGCACAAATCGCAAGATACCATAAGATAGAGACGTGTGGAAAGTTGGATGAGTTGTTGACGGCGCTTTATTCCGCGAACATGTTGCTGTGGGGGTTCTTGCTAACACGCGAATCAAAGCCGACGGTTCGCACTGTGCGTGGGTAGCCAATGCTGGGGTTTCGACGTTTGTCTCCCCTTGCCTGCTTTCATGCGGGGACCTGTTCGGGGTCTTCGATGGTGTGTCAAAATGAAAGAGACTGCCGACCTTCATTTGCACCGGTGGGTGTGGCCAATGCCGGGGTTCTTCGACGACTGTCTCCCCTTTTCTCCATCCTTGGGGTGGCCTATGCCCGGGTCTTAAACGAGTGTCTCCCCTCGTGGCCTCTTTTCTCCCTTGCTCTCCTTTTCGCTCCTTCTGCTTTTATGTGGGATTGGTGGAAGGCCTGTCTGAGTCTAGGGAACAAGGGAGCAAACCAGTCGAAATGGATGACAAAATCTGCAAACAAGAAGACATCGTTCTACACAGACAAGTATATTCTGCGAAACAGAAATCGAAACGATGGAAAGGAGTTGGGAAGTTTGAGGAGAACAAATGCTCCGCTTTCTTCTGGCATTTTCTGGTTTCTTTCGAGTACCTGTCGGCTCTTTACCTTTTTTTGACTTGGTGTTTCGAACGCTGAAGGGGCTTCATGTTCTCTCTCTAAACATGCTAATCTCTGTCGGGCGGTTTGCTCCTTTGACGGGTTTGCTGTCAGATTCTCTAGTCCTTCGCAAATTGTATAGGCTCTTTCGATTGCTCCTGCTTCTCCATCTTTGTCCAACTTTCTAGTTCCGTTCCACTGGGTTGCTTCCACTTTGCCAGAATATAGATGAAGCAGGCCAGTGGAGAGGGACTAGAAATTTGAGACAAAGGGGGCAAACGTCTCGGAAGAGACTGGAGAATCTCATGCAAGGGACATTTTGAGAGCAGCAAGCCAGTGCGGAGGACTAGAAAATTTGAGAAACACTCGCAAACCTCTCGAAAGACACTACAGAAGCACGGGGTATTTCGGGAGCAAGCCGGCGGAGAGAGACTAGAAATTTGAGACACACACACACACACGCAAACCTTTCGAGAATAAAGACCTTGATGCAGGGGAGATTTGAGCATGAGGGAGCAAGCCACTGGAGAGGGACTTGAAAATTTGAGAAACACGAGAAACCTTTTGAAAGAGACTCGAGGCTTTGATGCCGGGAAGATTTTGAGAAAGCTCAGCAAGCCAGTGGAGAGGAGCTAAAATTGTAGTCTTTTTGACACAGGGGTAGAATGAGAAAGGCACGCAAACTAGAAGTTTCGAAAAAACGGAAGATACTGCTCGGAAAGAGGCTAAAAACATGAAAACAACAGAGATTGAGGAGAGGAGGCAAACTGGCCCAAAGGGACTGGACAGTTTCAGAAAAAGGATCGAAGCCAAAAGTGCTCGAAAGAAACTATTGAACTAATTTGACCAAACGGAGAGAAGTTGACAAAGAGGAAGAAGCAGCTCAAAGGGATAGTAAGCACAAGAAAGCCAAAATTGCTCCAAAGGGACTGCTCACTTAACAAAGGCAAGCACTTGAGAAAGAGAAGCAAACCAGTCCAAATGGACGAAAACATACTTCGATAAGTAGGAGCAACCGCTTGAAAGGCCAGAGACTTTCTGCGTGGCGCAAGCGCCGCTCGGCTTGCAAGAGACCGGACAATTTCACCAAGACAAGGCCGACCTGCCGGAAAACTTGTAAAATACGAGCAAATCTGTCGAAGTACAGAAGCTGACAAAGACTGGAATTTGAGACAAAGTAGCTGAAAGGGACCAGAGGATTTGGGAAACAAGCTCAAACAGCTCGAAAGGGGCAGGCAAATTGACAGAGGAGGGAAGTTGAGAAAAGGCTGCAAACCGGTCGAAAGGGTCCAGAAAAGTTGAGACGCCACGCCGCAGGAAAGAGACCAGAGCAAAAAATGAGAACCAGGAGCAAAACACTCGAAAGGTATTTGCAAAGAGGAGACGTTTTTTGCGAAGGACGAGCCAGCCGAGCGTCAGAACAACTGCAAAACAGCAGCAAACAGCTCGAACCAGCCTAAACAATCGGAGAAAAGCCAGGAAACCGCTTGAACAAATACAATAGAATCTCACTAAAGAGAAACGAACTGCTCGAAATTGAAGCAGACCTTGAGGAAGAAGAACAAACCAATCGAAAAGGACTGGAAACTTTGAGCAAGAGGGGCAAAACGGGCGAAAGCGATTGCCGAATCCGACGCACAGGAGAGTTGGAGGAAGAGATAAACACTTTCACAACAGGAGCCCGAAAGAAACTCGAGAGACTGTGACAAGGAGGAAAATTCAGAGGAGTAAACCGCACGAAAATGTCTGGTAAAATTGAGAAACAGGAGCACACCAGGGGACTTCACACCCGAAATGCTTGACAAAGGGGAGCAAACCAGTCGAAGATGGCGGAAAGAGGCAAACCACTCGAAAGAGACTAGCGACCGTTGTCTCTCCGTGTGTCCGCGCATTTGGGACGATGGGGGATGGCCAATGCCTGATTTTCCGCACTTGCCTCCCCTTGTCTCGTTTTGTCTGCCTTCGTTCCGGGTGTCCCTTGGTTTGGGCTTGCCTCTCCTAGTCTCACCTTGTCGTCCTGCAGTCCCCAAACAGTTTAGTGAAGGGGTATGTAGCGGTTCTTGTTCCTTCCCCTAAACTACTGGTGTGGTTCTTGTCAAAAAGATGACAACGAGTGCTGACGTTTCGCGTGTGAGTGGCCGTCTTTCGGGTATAGGTTTGAGTGTAGGATGTAGGGTTGCGGGGATGAGAAAAACAGTGCAGTACACAAACTTTGTGCCATGATTGAACCCTTTTAAGGGTATTTATTACAGCTTCCACGCAGGACACCAAAACTGACCACACTACTGAGCCGTCCTCCGACTTCAAGAAGAGGAGATTCCGGTAGACATCCTTCACACTCTTGATCTGGTCGAACCACTGCCCGGTGATCTTGTTGGCCCTGGGTGCCCAAACCTCTTTCTTGCCGTCCGCCAACACCAACTCATCGAACAGCTCCGGGCTGCGGACGTGAATCTTCCTGAAGTGGCGGACAAGCGGCGCAACCGAAAGCCCTTCGGCGCAAACCCGAGATCCCGAACCCTTCAGTTTCAACCTATGAAAGGCCAGAGAAAAGAACCTTGAGTCCTGAGGAGCCTGTCATATCTGGCCAGAAGCGAACTCCGGACCCCAAAACCTACAAGCCTACAAGACGCCCGAGCCCTCAACTTGCAAAGACTCTACCGTCTGCGATTTGGGGCTTGCGGTCGCATCAACAAACACAAAACCTGAGCCTGCAGCACATGCGTGGGACATGGGTTCCACGTC